TTTTGCTGCTCCACCGCGATCAGACGCTGGAGCTCCGCAGTCTCAGATAAACTAGCCGACGGCATATCAAAGCTAGAACTAAAAGCAGCCATGGCGAAACTTTATAGAAACTGATTATATGCACAGGAACATGTGAAGGATAAAGCAACGGCGCTCGCCAACAGGCATGGACGTGAAAGCAACTACTTCCGCCGCAAAAATATGACGTCATGACAAGGCTCATCGAGGTTTGTCAAAAGGCTTGCTCGACTTCATGCGCCACCCATAGACTGTAAAAGGCATAGGGATCACTTCCATTTGGAATTTGCCCCGTGAACCCTACACAACTCACAGATCAAATGCCTGCTGTATGCAGATGATCTGGTTCTGCTGTCTCCCACTCAACATGGCTTACAGCAGAACCTGGACCTGCTAGAGCAATACTGCCAGACCTGGGCTCTGACAGTCAACCTGAAGAAACCCAAAATTATGATATTTCAGAAAAGATCCAGATCCCAGGGAACACAACACACATTTACGTTAGGCACTGACCAGATAACACAGACACACTACAACTACCTGGGTTTGAAAAGCACATCCACAGGAAACTTTATTCATGCTGTGAAAGAACTGTGAGATAAAGCACGCAGGGCCTTCTACGCCATAAAACGACAATGTCCTATAGAAATCCCTATTAGAATTTGACTGAAAATATTCGAATTAGTAATTGAGCCCATTGCCCTCTATGGCAGTGAGGTGTGGGGTCCACTGACAAATCCAAGTCAAGATTTCACCAAAATGGGGAAAACATCCAATTGAGACCCTGCATGCAGAACTCTGTAAAAATATATTACACGTGCACACAACAAATAATGCATGCAGGGCAGAATTAGGCAAATATCCTCTTATCATAAAGATACAAAAAAGGGCAATTAAATTCTGGAAACACCTGAAACTCAGTAACCCCCAATCATATCATTATAAAGCCCTGCAATACCAGGAGATGAGCAAAGAAACCCCCTCCCTCAGCTGATCCAGAGCTTCAGTCCTGATGCTACACTAACATCTACTGCTGCTCTGAATCACAACAACACTAACAACGTCAGAATCAATCTGCACAAATCAAACAGAATTGCATCACTCATTGGCAAACCCAGTGGTGTATAGAGTACCTGAAAGCCATACTCAAGTAAAAGTACAGATAGATATCTTACCAGAAAATGACTTTGGTAGAAGTTGAAGTCACCGATTAGAATATTACTTGAGTAAAAGTCTTAAAGTATGTGATATTTATTGTATTTAAGTACGAAAAGTATTTTTTAAACCTTAAACATACTTAAGTATTGAAAGTAAAAGTACAAGTAAATGCAAAATGGAAAAGAAGCAAATAAATATATATAAAAAATGTTCATACACGGCTTGAGTACCAAGATTGTGTTCAGTTTTAACTCTTTCTTCCATTTTGTATTTTTGGTTAAGAATAAGAAGCACTTCATCCGGTACTTAGTGTCTTTCATTCCAACATAAGAAAACATTTCTGGAATCTGCATCTGAAATAGCATTTAGATGTTTTTACACAGTTTATGTATCTCAAAGGGGACATGGATGCATTTAATCTGCAGTTACAGATGGATAAATACTGTTTTGTTTTTAACATAAAACGTTGAATACTGATATTTGAAATAATTTAAAGGGGTCATATGATGCTGCTAAAAATAACATTATTTTTGTGTATTTGGTGTAATGAAATGTGTTTATGCGGTTTAAAGTTAAAAAAACACATTATTTTCCACATACTGTACATTATTGTTTCTCCTCTATGCCCCGCCTTTCTGAAACGTGTCAATTTTTACAAAGCTCATCGGTCTGAAAAAGCGAGGTGTGCTGTGATTGGCCAGCTATCCAGTGCGTTGTGATTGGCCGCATACCTCAAGCGTGAGACGGAAATGTTACACCCCTGACCATACTGTTGTATTCCCTCAGCGACCAGCACGGATCAGCTCTAGGCATGACGAAGCAGATATCGTCCTCTTTTGGAAGACCAAACAAAGTAGTTTCACTTTCACAACGAAACACACAGTGCCTTCACGACATGGCGGCGGCAACAATACTACAGCGAGAATAAAAGTTACGCCTTCTTTCTTTGCGTGAACATTTGGGC